CCCCAACCCCAACCCCAACCCCAACCCCAACCCCAACCCAAACCCAAACCCAAACCTTAAGGAAAACCTAGGTGCTTTTAGGGCCTGGTCTTTACTTTTATTTTTCAAAAAAAAACATAAGGAAAAAATAGTCCCCCCTAAGAAAAAAAAAGCTTATGTACTTTTGCGACACTTCATGTAGAGCCCCAACCGTACTTGGAATATAATTATTTTTATAATTACATGTAGACTTTACAAATGCTTTAATTCGCATTATTTCCTACCGATTCATAAGACAAAATTGAATTCGCATTATTTCCTACCGATTCATAAGACCTTGTTACGAAGGTCAACCCGACCCCAACACCAATATACCCCTGGGAAGAGATTTTTAGCCAACCCCAAAAGGAAGCATGGATACTAATTTTAATTTAAATTCAAGAATATCCTCAACCTGAATCCTAACTTTTTAAATATGCATATTTCTTCAGCAATTATTTTTCCATTCAAGTATTATTTTATATCTTTGAGCTCGGAGAAAAGTTAGAAGTCTTTTAAAAATCTTTTCCTCAAATCTATTATAGGTTCATATTAATATGAATTAGGTTTTTAAACTTTTTAAAACATTAATAATATGAAAAATATTTATTTTAAGTAGAATAATAATAAGGTACCTTTATTTGAAAGTATGCGTATAGTTGAATGATCCAATGTAATGGAAAATTATTAAAGAAAATATAATAAAAATGTAATTCTAAATTAAACAATAAATTAGAATACAAAAGTATTCAAACCTTGAGTAAATTTCAGAAAGAATTAACATCTAAAAACAACTATTTTGTAAATTAATTGATTTTTTTTAACATTAATTTTCTACTAAAGTAAAAGATTATTGAGAAAAAAAAATGAATTATAATTAAATTTAATAAGATTTTATCACTCATCTAAAATCTCAATGCAACAACCTGAAAAACCAATATATAAATAATATTCAGATGAAGGATCATTTATCAAAGCTTATGGAAACCACTCTTCTCTGAGATCTTTTTTTTACTAAATAATTTAATAAATTTTATATTACAATAGTTTGATTACCTAAGCCAACTTATATGCTTTATTCAGTCATATCTAATATAAATTGTAATGTTTCTCCTCCCCATAAATATATTTATTATAGAATTTAATGTTGCGGTCCATAGAATGTAAAATATGTGCTACCCTTTTGCGTATTCCCAACAACTATTTTCAAACTTCCAGAAATAGATATTATTTTTAATTTAAATTCAATAATATCGTCAATCTGAATCTTTGATTAACTTTTTAAAATTGCATTTTCATATCCATTTCCTTCATAAGCAATTATTTTTTCATTCTGTGAGTATTTTATATCTTTGAGCTCGGAGACAAGTTAGAAGTCTTTGAAAAATCTTTACTTCAAATCTATTATAGGTTCATATTAATACTTTTTTAGGAATTAGATTTTTAAACTTTTTAAAACATTAATAATATGAAAAATATATATTTTAAGTTAGTTTAATAATGCATAGACACAATGAAAGATGAAATCAAATA